TTAACCCTATTCTACACTCTGTAACAGGCCAGCTTAGAAAACATCCTCTTATTTGGAATAATCCTTGTTTAGCTGTATTCTTTCGCCTTTTTGGGCTCGATTATTTCGGTAGGTTCTCGTCAACTGAGGCTTGCTCAGAGTTCTCGAATTCGGTGCCATCAGGTCGATTTGCCTACAGATCGCGGTCTACTGCACACGGTGAGCAGATGGTGCCGAAAATTGGCCAATGAGCCGTAGTAGATGAAGAAGTTGAGGATGGAGCCCAGGTTGGTGAGGGTATTGGCCAGTCCGATGAAGTGGAGCAGATAAAGGGAGGGCGGTTCGACTTGGTTGTCTGCTGACCGGTTGATAAGGCCGGCGATAAAGTAGGGCGTTTCACAAAAGGCGAACACGGCGCCAATCACAACTACGATGCGTGTTGTGGTCGCCGTGGAAACGGTGACCGTAGCGTTGCCGGTCTGGATGGGCCTGACAATGGGCTCAGCTCTCGGGGCGGCCTCGGCAACAAAGCTTCTGGTGGCCATGACAGCTCGTCGTTGTCGGGTCGAAGCGGGAAATCTCCACGACCGTCCGCCTCGGCTTGAGTCCCGTCGCGGTCTCAGCTTTGTTGGCAGAGATGGGTGTCTTGACGGCCTGGAAAGCCTGATGCTGACAGGGTTCGGGACTCGAGGCCTGGTCACCGGGCGCTGCCATACATGACCGGAGCTCTTCTGCCAACTGCGAAGGCTGGCGAGGAGGCGAACATTGAAGAAGACTATGGCGAAGAGTGGCAACGGCGAAACAAGGCAGAAATAGGTGTTTCGATAGGCCGTCTCCAATCCCGGCGGCAGCAACTGAGACGACCGTGGGTCGGAGAGGATGCGGGCGACCTGACCGTTCGAGGTCCCGCCGCCGGTACCAACTCCCTCGCCTCCGGGCCCTCCGGCTTCTCGGCGAGACCTCCCGCCAGCGATGGCCTCAACATCCTTAGACACTGTCTCGTTGAGACACACAAAGTAGACCTGTTCCAGAGCTCGAATTGTGGTGAGAATGCAAGCGGTGAGGTACAGCGTCAAGAGACAGCCGGTCGCGGCAGAGCGCCGAAGCGCCTTACGATGCGCCTGGAAGGGATCGTGGACGACACAGAGGCGGCGCCAGGCGATGAAGGCTATCACCCAGTTTCTGGCCAAAAGACTCGCCTTGTAGACGATCCAGTCGAGCTGAAGCACTCCGAGCGCCAGAAAGTAGGCCAGACGAGGCGACAAGAAGACGGGTGACTCGTCGCCGAGGACAATAGTGCTGAAGTAGACCGTTTCAAACAGGAATCCGGACAGTCCGCAGACCATCTCGACGGCGGACAGATGACACAGCATCAGAGAGAATATGCTGCCAGAATGGCGCATCTTCTGGGGCTGTTGTTGCAGCTTGGATTGGCTCAGTTGTGGCTGGCGTCTGTCCGCCTGCTGAAAGACTTCGTTTCGTCTGGGGCCAAAGGTCGCCTCCGTCTCATGGTTGTGCAGTTTGGTGTACAAACTCTGATAGTTGATCACCTCTTTGAAGGAGGACTCGGACCACTCGTGACACACCGCCGCGGAATCCAGACCTCTGACCGTCTCTGCCGAGTCGTCTTGATGCCTCTTTCGGGACGTTTTCAGTCCATCGAAGGTGGACTTGTGCTTCTGGCTGGCGGCCAGGCTGCCGTACTCGGCGGCTACACATTCCAACGCATGAGCTTGTCGGATAGAGCCGAAGTCGGCCATCATGCCACGCCGAGATCGTCGGCTCTGGGCGCCATACATGCTGACGAAGACAATCAGACTGACCAGATGCATGAGTCCGCCGATCAGGCAGAGGGTGGACTTGGCAAAATAGGTGGGTCTTAGGTGAATCAGACTGACATTTTCTACGTCTGTAGGATCTTTGGCTTGGCCTGCCTCTTGGGTTTCAATCTGTCGCGGACTAGAGGAGGAAGTGGAGGTCGAGTGGGAGGATGGGTAATTGAAGGCACCGGAGGATTGGTTATTTGGCTCGGTGAATAATTTCTGACAGAATTGAGCACTCCGAAAGGCGACAAGAATCACGTGTAATGATTCGTTTGCGCATCCTAGCGGACTCATCTTCACGAATGTGAACAGTCAGTGAACAGCTGCAGTTGACTTCTTCTATCTCCTTACCATTCTGTCTTGATGTATCAAGCGAATTCAGCTTCTTTGGAAAATCATCTCGTTTTGGGCAGCTCAACTTGTCCTGAAAACAGATTAATTAAATTTTCAAAAACACTTTAATAAACAGAAATCAAGTATTCGTATGAGAGTAGGGTTTCGAGACTACCAGTAAATCAGTGTAATGAGATGTATTCATCCTATTTCGTATAAGGTTATGAAGGACTGGTAGTAGAATTTCCCACAATGATATGAGTAGAGCTGACGTTCCCTTGAATTTCACATAGCCTTGCTTTCCCAAAAGTTGTTGTCATCC